CAATTGTGGAAAAATATTGATTGAGGCTGATTTCTCTCGAGACACAAAATTATTGAAAATCGCTATACGTAAAATGATAAGTTATAGCTGGGCGTTCATAAAAGTATGAATAATGAATTTAGAAAAAGGCTACGATATAGAAGAGCAGACAAGATAAGGCAAGATAGCAGAAGAATTCAATGGCTTCGTTTTGACACTGACAAATGACGTGATACTGTTTTTTCCATTATTAAGTTGTTATTAAGTATGTTATTAAGAAGTATTTGTTAATCGAAACCAAATGTAGTTAATATACAGGTCAGCTTCGTTATACAGCGTCCCTTTTCCGGTAAGTAACGGCTTTGGGAGCGATCGAATATTTTCGGGGGATTTTATTGCATTTGAATTGTAATATGCAGCAGTTATTCTTCAGATAATCGTTTATTAAAAAAATTCTTGACTAAAGTGGCGTTTATTAAACATGTTGCATAACATTCGTTCACAAATCGACTCGAGAATTGTGTTTTTATGTTCGACAAACATCTAAAGCAATAAGGTCTAGTTAAATAATTTCTGAACGTATTTTTATAGAATAGTTCATGTTTTAGTTGGTATTTTAAGTAAACACAAATTTGTGAATTTTAAAAAATTAAAAAAAGAAGATGCCATGGCTGAAGAACAGTTGCGAATTGCGAAATACGCAACACTATCCATCTATATACAGATTGTCCGCACGCGCATCCCTTACGAAATAGCCAATCTTCATACAATTTAAGGAACCGAAAATTTTAAGAATTGCGTCTAATATATAGGTAATTTTAGAGAGGCGATCTACAAAGCAGGTTGATATATTTGCAATTTATTTTATGCGATGAACTTCGATTGTTATTATTTTATTGAATAACAACACACGACAATTTGCGAAGCACTTGAATTTAAATATAGTTTGATTTTGTTTTACGAATACAAAAGGTTTTTATAACAACTTAATGTACTTAAACAACAATAAAACGGGCAGATCCTGCCGTAGATATTTTCGTTAAGTAAATAAACAAGCTCGCAAGACCTTGCTCTTTCCGGCAGAAAACACGCATGACATACGTGCGTATCATAAATTTATCCGCCAATCGAATCGGTCTATTTCAAACTGAACTTTGGCAGCATTCGATAGGATACAGGGTGTTTCAGTTAGAAGAATTAGGTCAACGGCATTCATTATTTGTTCTTATTTCTGTTGCCGTGTAGATTTTGTACAAAATCTATTTGGGAGTTTGGCAAATGCACAATATCCTATATTTTATAAATCGTCATCTTTATATGGTTTGGAATTTGCCTATAATATAAAGCTATTAAGTGTGCAAATATTTAAAACAGCCGAAAACGTGTAAGATTAATTAATTTTTGTAATGTACATAAGACAACAAGTAAAAGACTTCTTCCAGTTATTGTAATTGTAAAGATAATTTGAGTGATTAATTTACTAACTTTTGAATTAAACGAAACATTGAGTTTCTAGTAAAATTAGACTGGTCTTTCCGATCGCAGAAGATAAACAACGACCACGACGTAGTTAATACTAGTTTACTAAAAACATCCGCAACAAAATTCCTCGTAATTCCGACCGATTCCATTCAGTATCGTAGCCTTGTCCAAACAAATTATACTTCACGCAAATTGATGCTCTGTGACGTCGACATCGCAAAAATCGTAAATCATCACCATGTTCAGTTAAAAAATTATTTTCAAATATTTTCTTTTGCGCGTATTTACCTAAGATGCGTCTAAATGACGTCGTTTGAAACAATAAATCAATTTGTCTTGCAGAATAGCGCAACAAAACGTTGTTACTGATATGGTGACCTAACCATGGTTCTCTCACTTGACGTAATTGAAAGTGATTCTAGATTACGGCAATGCAACACCCACGGATTGCTGCGAAACGAGGACACTTTGTTTTACGAATTAACAACTAGTATATCTATAATAAAACGAGGAGAGTGAGCTTTATTTCTGAAATCCCTTAAATAATGTCTAAAATTGGCCAAAAGTGCAAACAAACGTTTGTTTAGCAAAAATATTAACATTAAAAATATTCCGATACAATTATTTACTTTTTTTTACTTTGCTTTGTTGGAATTTACTATTGCACGCTACATATTCAAATTTTTTGTTTTGAACACTGACGGTTAATGTAACTCTGAGTACTCTCTGGGTTTTAGCTAGTTGCTAAACCATCCACTAATTATTTGCTGTTTTGTGGAAAACTGCGGCTTCCTTCAAAATAACAGCCGGTTGGCAAATTATCTGATTAGTTTGAAAACTAGCTGAGTAACCAAGTTAGCAGTAATATAATGGGTGTTTTTTTTCGATGTATAGAACTTTAAGTTGGCATTACTGTTCAAGATGGCGACCGATTTAACAGATGTCAAGTGATTTATTCTCAGTTTGGTTTGGCAATTCATCATGAATAGACTCACGCCTGAACAACGCTTGCAAATAGTGCAATTTTCTTTCGAAAATAATGGTTCTGTGCGGAATACGTATCGCGCACTACGTCCATTTTATCGTCGACAAAATCGTCTATCAGAGCAGTTAATTCGATTAACCATGGAACGTTTTCGCACCACGTTTACTCTTATTGATAACTCGCATCCCCAGAGACGCCGTACGGTGCGTATAGAAGAAGCTATTGCTGCTGTAGAGCGTAGCATTGTGGAAGACCCGAATGTGTCTATCCGCCATCGAGCACAGGAATTGGATCTGTGTCCATCCACTTTATGGAAGATTTTGCGGAAGGATCTTGGGTTACGTGCTTACAAAATCCAATTCGTGCAAGAATTGAAGCCAAGCGATCATCAAGTAAGGGCGTAGATTCGTCGAATGGGCCCAAAACGAGATTGCCGTTGTTCCCGATTTTCATAAGCGAATTTTGTTTAGCGATGAAGCGCACTTCTGGTTGAATGGCTACGTCAACAAACAAAACTGCCGCATTTGGAGCGAAGCTAATCTAATCAAGTGTATGTCAAAACACCATTACATCCAGAAAAACTGACTGTTTGGTGCGCTTTATGGGCTGGTGGAATCATTGGTCCGTACTTCTTCAAAAACGATGATGGCCAGAACGTTAAAATCAATGGTGATCGGTATAGAGCTATGATTACCAACTCTTTCATTCCTGAATTGAATAACCATGATGTCCAGGAGATGTGGTTTCAACAAGACGGTGCAACATGTCACACAGCTCGTGCACAATCGATTTACGTTTGGTGACCGTCTAATTTCACGTTTTGGACCTGTGAATTGGCCTCCAAGATCTTGTGATTTAACACTGCTAGACTACTTTCTGTATGGCTATGTAAAGTAATTGGTCTATGCGGATAAGCCACAAACGCTTTACCATTTGGAAGACAACATTCGCCGTGTTATTGCCGATATACGGCCACAAATTTTGAAAAAAAGTCATAGAAAATTGGACATCCAGATTGGACTACATCCGCGCCAGCCGTGGCGGTCATATGGCAGAAATCTTATTTAAAATTTAATGCCACAAGATTATCTTTCGGATCAATAAAATTCATGTCAATCGAATAATCCATCGTTGTTTTATTGCAACTTAAAGTTCTATACATCGAAAAAAAACACCCCTTATATAACTTAATATTCAACATGAATTTGCACTAAACATTCTTAAAAGCTTTCATAATTCCAGCTGGCATACCTGCCAACTACATACTCAGTGATTTTGGCAGCACGTAGAGATTCAGAAATGAAAGTTTCTGGAAATAAAAACGAGAACAAAGCTATTAGTGTAGCGCAAGCATTATTTTTTCTATTCAAAATTTCATTCTGCATAGGTATATGTCTAATTATAGATTTTTTTTTAATTTTCTGAAAACTGTAAAAATGTTGCGAGGAGCTAGGTGATACAAAAACAAACACCAAAACGTAAAAAAGTCGGAAAAAGTTATAAGCTTACTCATATTAAGCCCATAGTCAAAATTCAAGTTCGCCTTAAACCTACATAATGTCTATCAAATGGCTATTAATGCAATTACATCATTCGTTTCAGCCGGTTTAATTTAACCGCTCATTTGACGCGCTCCGTATACGTTCACATAGGTAAGTGGAATAATAAAATGTGACGTAACTGGTAGCTGTTGACTCGACATTGTTGTTTAGATAATAAAACTACGATATAGCCAGCTTGGCGACTGTTACTATCCACGTTTATTTTGACCTTTACCGATGAAACAAACCGATTTCTCTTGCCAACAAAAATCGGCACGCTTGCAGTTCTAGATGTTTATGAATAGATTTTACAGCGTTTGTTGAATGTCATTCCCCGTTTTAATTTTAAATAAGCAGGGTCGTGTTAATCAACCAATTAATTGAGTCGTTTTTTAATTAAACTTTTTTCATAAAAAATTGAAGATCCCTGTGTTCAAGTCCATAGTCATGGAAGTATAAAATTAATCAAGATATTCTAATATGTGATTTGTATATTAAATTGCGAAAATATTGTGCGCTGCTGGAGTTGAATAAATTAGCGGATCCATTAGAAGTTTCAGAACTAATTAATATCAAATTTTGTGAAGAAATATGCGTGCGTGAGGGCCTCTATATACTAAACCTTATAACTTTATCTATTGCAATAAAATGTCTAGCAAGTTAAAGTTTTTTTAAGTTTCCAAAAAATAGTAGCAACCTGTTGAGCGATCATAGTTATAAAATGCATTTGGATGAAATTCACTCACCTACTGAACTTCATCGCAATTGTGGAAAGCCACGCGTGGCCGATTTAAGGCTGCGCACAAATTACGAAATGGATATAGAAACCCAATAAAAATTGAGCCCTTGAAAATTTGACCAGAAACCTCATACGCCGTTACCGAAAATATGCATGGAATGATGATAATAATAACAGTTCAAAATAACTTCTAAACTACTAAATACTCCAATAACTTATAGGACATTTAAAATATGTTTATGCCGATTTGTCTAAAAATGCCGTTTTGTTACAGGCGCCATTCGAGGTGCAGAAGAAATTGGAAGAGGTGCGTTTATTGGAATCGCGCAAATCCGCCCGTCTTGCCGACCAAGATACCGATTTCGCTCGTTTGGCAGACATGGCCGGTGACAGAAAAAGAACTGCTTCCCACACCATCGACGTTCCTGTTCCTTCTCAATATGGGTAAGATGATTTCAAATGTAAATGATTATATTTGTTAAGCTTACCTTTGGCGAGAACATATATCTAATTTGTAATACAAAATATGAATCTCTAAAATCATATCTAGAATGTTAAAAATTCAACACGGATAAAAACTGGCAATCTAAAGTAAACCCTGCTTCTCCCTTAATGAACAATCTCACGAAGCTGCTTTATCATCAACTGGAGCAGGCGCAATGCAGAAGATTTGTAAACAATAATCCTTTCTCTTGTAAGTAAAAAGACAACTTTGTCTTTGTGCTGTTCTGTTGCTTTTCTTTTTCACGTTCCCTCCATTTCCACTTTTTTTGCAATGTCCTTCTGATATCTTTTCGCACTGGTGCAAGTAAAGATTAGCTATTTTATCCCGTCAAGATTGATATTTTACAAAGAGATACTAAAGACCGTAGGCTGTAGGCACATTTTTCAAACTTTTCTATTCTGGTTGTTTTTTCCAAAAGAAACTGCAACATTTATTTATTTATATTAGTGACCGACCGAGTTGCATTCGCCCGTATAATATTCACATTTAGCCTACAAGTAATCTCTAAATTTGTTTAGGAGCTTCCTTTGGGTTACTTTTGAACTCTTTCAAAAATTGCGCACTGATTTTGTGTAAAGTTTCTATTCTTACTAATTTTGTTTTTGTAACTTTGGAAACCTATGAAAATGGCCTGATAAAATAAAGCCAAATGTGTTAGGTTCAAGAATCAGAGTAAAATTTTATAGATTAGACAAATTACCTTACTACTAATATCATATCTGTGAGTTAAGGAGAGATAGGGGCTCTTTTAATTTTAATTTTAACAAAACTGCAAAATATTCCACGTTGATGCGGTAGAACAGAAATAACATATTTTTCGCAACTTTATATTATTATTGTCATATGAAATGTCATTTTTTTAAAAGGGACTTTATTTAGAAAAACCAAAAATAATTATTTTTCGCGACTCAACTCTGACCGTAACACACGTTTTACCCAATTTTAAACAATTGTAAAGCATAAATTATCAGATGTGATCGTGTTTGTAGTCCAACTGAATTTGTGTGTTACTGAGTGGTGGTGGTGGTGGTGGTGGTAGTTACTGATAAAATGGTTTATTAAAAACGATTTAATAATATTTCCATTAACCCAAAAAAAAAGAAATATGAAAAATGACACTGCCACAATACGAGGAAGTGTTGAGAAAAAATTACTTTTACATTCTCTTTCGCGTCGGCTGACCCAATTTTTAGCAACTTTCGTTGCGTCTGTCCTTTTACTTTTTTTGATGGTCAAATTGCGATTTGCGTCACTTGCCGGCCAATATACATACAATAGACCGAATGTTGCAAAATATCTACTTTTGTCGTTAGTTTTACGGTGGAAGAGTAAAAAATTCACAATCCTATAACTTATTACCGCTATTAAAAGAATTATTTTTTCTAATTTAACTGTAATAAGTTATAGACGATTTTAATTTAAATGCTCTCCCAAATTAATTTAGAAGGTTTCAAATATACAAACCATTTATTTCGGTCGAATTGACGAAATGATTAGGTACTATTAAATCTCTATCTCTTAATTAGTGCTGTAATTATTAATTGTTAGGAAATACTAGTCAATGACTCTTACGATTCTGCCTTTGTTTATGTTGCCTCGTTTATGATTTGTCTGGTCTTCTTTGAATGTAACGTCATAGAATCATACGTAGAATCCTGCGATATCCTAAAACTGCTTCAAGAATGTAGCGGGGAAATTTTGTTGGTTTAAGCAATCGAGTAAGAGATATATAATAATTATGTTGCGCAGATAAATAGTATTAGAATTTCATTACAAAAAAGATTTGTTCATTTTGTTGGTATTATCGATAAATAGTCCGATATCGAACTACCACTTAAAAAACCAAGAAAACTTAACTCATTTGCATATTTTGCGAATTATGTACAGATATTTTTTATGTATTTTTTTACAGTTTATTTTCTCTATCCTTTTGATCCTTTTAACGTATTTATTTTTTTGTATAAACTGCATATTTTTGATTTGTTACAGATCTCGTAAACGAAGACCTAGCAATAGTCAAGACGACAATCCTCACTCAAAAACGGCCATGGATGAATGCAGTGCCGCTTTAGTTCTCATGAGCCTGTCCTGTTCGCCACAAAGTGGTAAGTAACTACAGCTAGACGCTAAACATTAATTTTTTAACGAAAAAATTTAATTTTGAATTTGCACATAAGTAAATTCAAATGTAGGCTGTTAATGCCAGATATAGTAAAGTCGCTATTTGACCTTTCGAACTGTACGTGCCTAATAATGTATATAGTTCACCGAGGCCACCCACATGTTTTAAAATTTAAACATGATGTTTATTTTATATCAATTGTAAATTTTATTCATCAGAGCCCAATATTTTTCTGTTAATTTATTTATATATTTAATTGCAAAACGTCATTCTTCTCGACTATAGATATTAAACTAAAAAGACGATTTGAATTTTTTTAGTATATAAACACTTTCTTTTAATACTAGAAATTCACTTCTTATTTATTAATGCACATTTTTCATTCGCACTGCTAAACAGAAATATTATTTTTCGCAATAACGGCGAAAATTTGACAAAAACTGCGATGATAACAATTTTCTTTCACTCTTATACTAATCTTTGAGATTTTTTTGTGAGTCCACCACCTATTACAAACTAACCAAACCTATTAACCCCCGGTGTCTGGAATGAATTCGCTAATCCGTCTCTGTCTTCTCTCCGGATTTTTACGATTTAACATGTGGCGTATGTTTTGCAACATTTCGTGCGATGATATACGACACACATTTTCATTTTACAAGTGGTTTACTAGGTAATATTTGTTAAGGTAAGTGGGACACGAACGTGATATTGTGTCTAGGTTTACCAGACGGCTTTTTTTTAAAGCATTTTCGTCCCACTGGTTACCGCTCTTACATTTTTATTCCATTAGGCGACGTTTGTTTAACCGACTTGTTTATTATGAATCTTATCACAGTTTTTTTCCTGAAAAGTGTTTACAGTGCATGATTCGATTTGAACTAGATTGCGCCAAAAGTAATATGTATATTTATGCACCAGGCACGAAACTACGTTATTTTCATAATAAATTCTGCACGGTCATATTTGTTTTAATTTCTACCACCCGAAAATTACATTCAAATAAGTATTTAAAAAAATCAGTCTTGCAAAATCTACAAACTTGATACCGAAAATATTTTGGTTTTTGTGAAAACGTTGAATCGAAAGTGACTAGCACGACACACAGTTCTTTGTTTTAATTTGTGGTTGCCTTCCTTTAAGCGACGAAGCCACATAACAAAAATCGAATATTTTCATGAACATATAGCTTTTCTGGATCTCCAATCATTCCATTTTATTTTGAGTGGTAACTGATTGATTGCAAAAATAAGTGCCAGCGCATACCTGGTGTTAACACATAGAGGGTTTGTAGACCCTATAAATAAACTTAACTTTTTTCACTTTCTGTAAGGGTGTAAATGAAATTAATCGGTTTTTTGAGTGGTGCAAATTCCAGCATAACTTGAAATATAACAATATTGATCATTTATAGAAATATAGTAAACTTTCAAATATTCAAATCGCAGTCCTTCCTGCTTCCTGAAGATGTATCTCTATGGACTAAACTGTTGGAGTCTCAAAACGGGTAAACAAAATTGTTCGCAAAAATTTCTGGATAGGTATTTCTGCATATGCGCTCATTTTAATCGTTATCTCTGTGTTATTGCAGATGTTTTATTGGTAAAGGTGCATTATGATAAACTGCATCTTTTTCCTAGTTTTAACCAGATATTTTTTTACAACAATTTTTTTGATATCTTTTCGCAGGGAAAATTTTCCTAATATTTAAAATAGAAGCAAAGTAACACACAAACACGTTGAAGTACAAACGTATACATGCAAATAAAAAATTGGGCGTCCGAGATCAATGGGAGGTCGGAGTCGCTTGATAATCGATCGTGGGTACAACTGACCGAAAAAGTTTTCCGCAAATAAACACAATGGAAGTTCTAAATCATGTTAGTGTCAAGCAGCACGTTATCTCTAAACAAAATAAATATATTGTTAAAAATGTTAGGTGAGTAGTTCAAGTACAAGTCTAGTATCACGATTTCGGATCGATAGACTCGATATGCGCCAGTGCATAAACCTTAGAACAAAGGGAAAATCGATAGTGCGACTGACGTTCATTGAACAAAAGCATTGCATTCGAGTTACGCGTGTGCACCAAGTTCGTCGAAAGTCATACACGTGGTACCGATTGCGGTAATTATTAGATTCCGATATTGGTGAACTGTGCAGTGACGGCTTCGCCGTAATCTGATGCAGTAATTTTTAGATCGTTCGAAGTTGGCGTTTTTGAAATTTGCAGCTAATTCTAATATTTCAAAATACAAACCTCAAATTCCAAAAACACAATATCTTAAAGAATTTTTATAAATTTGATCCTGTAGTAAGTAGTTGGCGAAAACAAAACTAAAGGATATGATATTTTATTTACATATGTTTCTAGGCTACTACTATGTTCTTAGAATTTTAGAATTCCTTGTTTTGATCATTAAGTCACAGGATCTCTAAAATCCCATTTCTATGGGGGATTCAGAAGCCCCATTTTTGCATATCGTATCTGCCTTTTTTTCTGCAGTTTTCTCAAATTCGAATGGTTTTATTACTTCATTTATTTCATATCGGGAGTTGCAGCCTTGACATCTTGGTTTATGTTGGTCTATCTCTTTCTGTTGTAAGTAGGTATAATTCGGCCACTTTGTTTAATTGGCTGTAGGACCTGAATTTTTTTTATTTACTTCAAAAGTTTAAGCAAAATGCATTCTGAACACAATGACTCACATGAAATCGATCTGAATAGAATAAATTTTCTAGAAATTAATTTTAACCCATTGAGAGCTACGTGCTAACTTAAACCATAAAAGTGGATCTTAATAGCGTATTTTGCTTTACTACGTTAACAAAAAAATTTGAAGCCGACATCTCCTTTATTCAATTTTTTTTCTTCGCACAGTGGTCAGAGGGAATCGCGCCTCGATATCTTACTCCTAAATCTAGAATGTCAACGTATCATTTGCGTTGTGAATCCTGTTTTCCGTGTTTTGCCCAGCTGCAAGTCAAGTTTGATAAACAATTTACCTCCCATAGTCTGTCACTTTATAACAACCGGTACATATTTATACACAAATTAATATTCGCCTAAAATTGCTATTAATATATTCAAGCTGGTTTTGAAATAGTCATTTTTGTCATTTAACACACAGTGATGTGTTAATCTAATAAATAATTTGTTACTTATGAATACTGGCTTTGGGCGTAGCATAGATAACATAACAGAGAAAAACTGTCTTATGCTATGCAGGAGGATAATCCACGCGTTTATTAACAATAAAAAAAAATCTCAACAAAGTAGATTTATACTACTTAACTTGGTTAAGTTTTTTAGCGAAATTTCGAAAAACACCACTATTTAAAGTTTGAAATGATGTTCATTTTTATTTGACCATTTTAGTCATTTAATTGGGTAACAATGGTCTATTAAGATTTAAATATTTCAGGTAAACGTTACGGCAAACGAAAGTATAAATAGTGTTATAAAACTCGGAAAGTGACCAATCGATTTTCTATGTAAACCAGATTAATGCAACCAAAACTAATTGCAGAAAACAGAATTAATTAATGCCGTAGATTTAACTTTCGACCAGATCGGTCTAAGGACGAACACGAAAATAAATCCTACGTATACTATTATTGGATTTCCTGGTTGACGCAGTTGCCCTTTCTGCGGCTTTTCGCACGGGAAACTATTCGTCACTGGTAACCTGTTCAGAGTAATTATGTGTTAATTATTACTTCCAACATCTGTCTAGAAAAGGAAATATAAGTGTCACACTGTTGATGAGTGTATATGTAAAAGGAAATTAATTTTAAATTTATTTAAAGTTATTAACTGTTATATTAAAATTGAAAAAAAATATTGCAAGTACAAATAAAATATTGTTACTGAGTGACCTGACACACAAAGGTCAAGTTTGGTGTTTACAATTTATTTCAAGGAAATGTCTCCATAGTACTTTTTTTTAAATAAGTATAGAGTCACCGAAAACTGTACCGGTACCGTTAGGCAAGCACAATAATTATTGCAATATTTTAAATTTCTAATCGTAGTGGAAATCGGTTAAATGTTATGATCTGCATTATCACCAATTTTTTTATTCAATGAAAATAAATCCGTCGCATGCTGTGCAATTTTCGATATTTTACGGTAAATTCAAAAATATCTGCTAATTCTTTACTTAGGAGCAATTTTTATTAAAATATAACGAACAACAATCCCAGCGCCTTTTTGGCTCTGTCACTGTCACTGCTTTTGCCAATTATTAACCAAACCAAGTCATTCGATTCGATGAGAGTAAACATTGTTTTTAATGCATCGTATCGCTAGTACATTGCCAAATACTACAATTCATTAGCCAACATTGCCCGCCTAGGTTGTACGCCAATCCAACCCTAGAAACAAACTAACCCAAACCAAGAAAAATTGGTCCAAGCTTTCTTTCTTCAGCTTCCAGCACTTTATAAATAGAACAGTGGAAGTGAGTTATTCTGTGTATATATACCGAGTGTTTCAAATTCATTACTCAACATTGGAATCTCGGAAGCAGAGACGGTAAAGTTACTTATTGCTGAGTGTAATAGTATTCTATTAAAACATTGAAGTTATTCTTTTATACTTACTGAAATATGACTGAAAAAAATGTCATTTTATTTTATTGATTCTTGTTTGAACTTTTTGTACAACTCAAAAATCGCTTACGGCCTTTTGTTTTGCTTAAACCGTAATCAGCTTAAATTTTTCAAATGGGTTTTTTCAGTTTTGGTTAGTTCAGTTGCTTTAATATTATTTTTTATGTTCAGAGTCGAATTCGATACATTCGGTATATGGTGGCAGAGTTAATTAAGACCTTACGTTAAAATATATGGGGCTACGAAAATTTTGTTGGTGGCGTCGTTCGTTTCATGGAAAAACATCAGAACCTCAACATTCCAACCTTTATAAGTTCGAAGTGTCGAAAACTATAGCCACCATTGCATTTGTCATCGCTCAGGAGACTGCGTGAATACGGAATTTAACTTTGCCTGATAAATATTTTCAATCCTATTTAGGCTCAACTCATAACAAGAACGTTTTCTATTGCAGCCTTCCTTCTTGGTACGTCGCCAGGCAGTAGCAGCAGCAGTTCCGCGTCCTTCAGATCTACACCCTCGCCACCTCCGAGTTCCAATTCGCCGGTTTCCGATGAAGGAATCGTAATGGACTATTGCATCGAAGATCAACCACGTAAAAAGAAGGTAAGCGCCACGCGCCGTTGTCGACTGCCGCTCTGACCTGAATTCCAATTGCATCACTTGATTGTTGACGTCATAAGGAGTGTCTTAAACTTTTACGAAACCCAAGCCGAATTTTATCGGGGCCAAGTTCGCGAGACATATCACCTGTCAAGCCTAGGTAACACTGAAGTGTAGTTCACGCTTCCTGTTTCTAGACCGGTTCCAACGGGCCACACCTGAATTGAAATTTGCTTTGTACGCACATAATCTAGGTCGTCATCGTTTATAAATACTAGATGGCTTTTATAGTTGCGTCGCACGTGTTGGTCACGTTGAATATAAATTGCACGAGAACGTAGATTAGAATACCAATGTCAGAATGCCAGTCAATCTCACTAAAGCGAAAAATCTCTGCACGCAGTCTACAAAAGACAAAAGAAAAACGGCGGATCATCCGTAATTTTTATGATGGTGTTTCAAAATATTTCAAACAAAACCTAATACAACATGATTATAATTAATTCAGATTTTGTATAATGGAAAACCGATCTTTATGAAATTCGCATAAAAACTTTTAAACCGGACCCTACTGAACATTGAAATTCGAAACTTTGCTCTAATTTAAGTTACCACCAATTCAAAAATGGAAATGTCAAAGGGGGTATGTGCCATTGTTTGATATATTAACATTTTGTTAGAATTGTCATACGTGCCCCGCCGCGTGCCCTGAGAAAAGGAATATCGTAATAAGTAAGTTTGCAAATTGCGCCGAAAGATGTCATTTTAAATATGCCCAGAGATAATTTCATGTGAAATATACTCCACCTTTTAAAGTTAAAACTGGTTTCTGAGATATTGAGGAAGCAGCTTAAACTTATCTTAAGACAAGTCTTAAAATAAGTAAAGCTGTTGTAAGAATAGAGCAAAATAAGTCCGGTTTTGTTAGTTAGTTAGGCATAAACGAAAATTTTAAAAAAGGGTCAAACTTTCGAAAGTTTAAAAAGTGTAATCCCATTAAGTCCCTTAAATCAAAGATTGACTTTTTGCCAGAACAAGCACACAAAGTTTTTTATAGGAACTTGTTAGAATAGTGTTTTTTTTGCATTTGAAATTTTATTTCTCTTCTGTTAAGTTAATATAATTTTTTTCCAGCTTGATTAAACTGTTATGGTTCTTTAAGTTTTACTTATAATATCACATATGACAAATCTATGTTCAATGCGAATTAACTTTAGAGTTTTTGTAGGTCTTTTTATCAGTTTAATAAGGTCGCATTGGTTAATAAAAATTATGTTTCCGTAACCTGCATTCGTCTGATTTTTATGAACCCCGGCAGCCATAGCTATTGCTGTAAATTTAGTTTGTTTAGTTTTCCTTGATTATCTCAAAAATTTAATTTTGGCACATACCTTCTTTCGCATTTCCACGCTTCTCTCAATTGCAGTGTGTCTCCTAAACCTTGTGATTCTACAGTCAAAAATACAGCATATATATTTAAATACAATTTAGTGATGATGGCAGGGGAGCTTCAATGTTATGCTTCAGTACTGAACGAAAAAATTTCTTAAAATGTTAACTAAAAAATTAAACTAAATATCTCTAAAAAATCGGCTGTTTCATATGCTTAGTGTAGTGCAATTTTTTCAATAATATGTGTTTTCGGAAATTCAGAAAATATCCGAATCAGAAATAATTTTTCTACCCTGTACACTAAAATACGTAATAACGCACGGATCTGGCGTGCGCAGTGTCACGCAAGACGTTAGCTTCATTAACCACTCGCGAAACCTTTCGGTCGTTTTCAGTACTTTGGGCACGAGTTTGAGTAAGATCGAATGTTTTCGTAAATGTACCTAAAAATTTCACTCACTCTTTTATTAAACACTCGCAATTCAAAAAAAGAGTTGGTCAAACTGTTTGTGTTTCTGTACGTTTGAGTTGACGTGTTTGTATGTCTGATGTCCGTTTGAGTGAAACACGTGTAATCATAATTTTTAAGACCTTGACGTTTAAATCTTTAATTTTTTGAAATCACTCTTTTGCAAAACAAACTATTAGAATTCACTGACCTCACTTATACCTATGATTAGACAAATGTGGTATTTGAAGCAAACAAGAACGTTCCTGTATGTAGATATTATCAAAGTTTGCTGAATAATATATCCTTGTGTAAACTTTTTTTAGGTTCTTATGATAACCTACTTATTTTTCTTATATCGATGGGTAATATTGGTTTTTTTAACGCTTTCAGATGATTATTCCGTAACGTGACCTGTGATTACTTAGTCACGTATTAAGCAATTTAAATTCATGACTAAAAGTCACTGTCAATCTTGAATTTACCGTTAATGGGTTTGATTGTGTCGCCAATTCTTATTTAATATCACATGTATGAATTATTCAAATCGTTTCTATTGTGGGGGAAGTATTATAATCGTTAACTGTGCAAATATTATTTGTGTGTTTAAAGAACGATGAATTTTAAAAATGTCAAGCAAATAAGTAGCCATTTTGAAACTCTATTTACGAATAATCAAAAATCTACTATTATTCTTCTGTCTGTAACAAAAAAAATAATTATTCAACGGAAGTAGTGTGAATTTCGATGTAAATTTTTGCAATTTGTTTGCGATTATTTTTTAGTGCCGGAGCAATTCAAAATAAAAGTGTTAGTTTAAAAAAAAAGTCTGCTCACAATACACTTGAAGGGCAGCACTGAAAATTGGAGTACTCTGTACGTATTCTTAATTCTTATACAAGCACACAAAAAGCAAAACTGAACATTAGCTTTAATCGAAATAGAGACCGAAATATAAAAATAACCATTTATTTTTATTATTTAAAAAGTAATTAGCATTCATGTTCTCCCATAAATTGACCAATTCTGCAAATTACATAACCGCGATAAATTGGTGGTTGTGTAACGAAATTTCTTTATGAAATCATCGCCGCAAGGGCGGCACGACTTTGTATATACTACCCCGCTTGACATGGGACGGGCTTTTCTACGGCTTCATTTTCATGTGGCAACATTGACAAAAACAGATATCAGTGAAATTGACAACCCCTTCATGCGAAAACGATCGATAGCCTTTCAGCTTAGCCCAACATTTTATCTTGTCAAAGTTATACGCATAAACATGTTATGGTCGTAGAGTAATGACATTTTATCTAGCTGACTGACGTCGATAATTATTTGGTGCAAAATTGTGCGATTTTAAAGAATAACAGGGGCGTTGTTTAAAACGTAGTAAGAAAAGCATAGTTGGCGGATAAGGTTTTGTGAAACTTTTTCATGAAAACTGGTTTCTGTTTTATCTGCTTTTTTTATCAAGCGCGTTTGCAATTGACCAAATAAAGCAAGTAAACAACTGCACTGAAAACGCTCGCCCTTCATACCGTGAAATGAAAATGTCAAATAATTCCTTTTATCGTAAAACTTTTAATGTAGCTGTTATTCAACCTGTTACTCCATTCGATTTAAAGACCTATTATTAACTGAGGATTCGCATTAATTTGTTTAGAAACACCATTATCGGAGAACGACTACATGTAGGCTACAACTTTCGTATAGGTATACGCATTAATCTGCCAGTTATTGATTAATTAGATAAAAGAACGGAGCAGCCATGGGGAACGTCATCTTGGAGATATTTTAATTTAATAACCGTTTATGGCAGTTAATATCTACTACCGGTTTATACAGGGTAACTCACTATTGCGAGATTCTTTCGTATCTCCATGATAGTTATTTTAACCAAAAAAAATATTTTATTTTCTTTGAATAGTGTTTAATTCGCTGATGGCTATATTTATTTTCAACAGTTTTTCATTTTTTCATTTTTCATTAGTTTGACATGTTTTTGATTATTTTTTTAAAGAAACTTCTACAGGCTACTGTAATACTTTTTTTGTATATGTAATCGTTAACTGTGCAAATATTATTTTTGTTTAAAAGGAGATAAACTTTAAAAATGACAAGCAAAAGTGCCGATTTTGAAACTCTATTTGCGAATAATCAAAAATCTACTGTTATTCTTCTGTCTGTAACAAATAAAATAATTATTCAACGGAAGTAGTAAAACAGTTGCAGTTAAGCTCTGAAGAAGCCAATAGGATGATCGGCAAAACGTCAGCAAGTTTGACTCAACAAAAACTGACGCAGGGGGAAACCAGAAGTTTTGTAAAAAATATGTTTTTTATTTTATTTATTTCGATAAAATTAAGGAACCCGATTTGTAGCCCATAGATTGTGCATTTCGAAGTCCTATAAAAGAACTGGGGTATTGTGGTGCTTCTAGGCCTGTACAAACTAGAGATGAATGAAGGAACTTACCATGAAATTTTTCCAACATTTAGGCGAACTAAGATACTTTTGAGATATCCTGTAGAATTGCAACTAATTTCAATTTAAAATTTTTAGATCAAATAATTTACAAGAGATAGAACATAATTTCGCACTAGTGAGCCACCCTGTATGCATATTGATGTTCTGTAAATTTTAGTTAGTTTTAATAAGAGGAACAATCAGAGGAAATGACGTCCTTTAAAATAATAATATCTAAACGAAAGTACATATAAATGTAATTATTGCTTTCTAATAACATTAACTGTCTCTTGTACGTTATAGATACAGGATTAAATTTAAAAAAATCTTGAACAGTCGCTAGTCTGAAGCTATACAGTTCCTCTCCCAGCTTTTCGATTGTGAAACCTTCCGGAGCGCAAAAATTAATTTGATGTGAAATTTCGAAAAACACAGATTGACAAAATGATAAGATAACATAACGGGAAACAACTGAACGGAAGAAGACACCAAGAGTGCGCGACACTAAGCGAATTAAATTTCTTAAGGAGTAAATCCGTTTATTTTAAAACGAGTCCTTTCAAGTGGTAGCGAATCTGTTTGCTTAAAACGTTAGCTAACAGTAAAAGTTGTACATAAATTGAATAATTTATTCAACCTATGCCGCTCTGTAAACATTGCGGTCGTGGCGTTTTTAACGTTCAAGAATTTAGAA